TGTTCTATTCCCCCCCTCCATTCCCCTCCAGCCTGCACACCCCTCCCTCACCATCCCCCCTTTTAGTTCATGAACACGTGTCTCAAGTTCTTTAGATTCTGTATTTCCCCTACTATTCTTACCCTCCCCCTATCTATTTTCTATCTACTGTCTATGCTACTTATTTTCTGTACCTTCTCCCCCCTTCTCCTTCTCCCACTCCCCTGTTGCTGACCCTCCATGTGATCTTCATTTCTATGGTTCGCTCCTAATCTAGCTGTCCTCTTAATTTGCTTTTGTTTTAGGTGTGATTGTTACTAACTGTGAGTTTGCTGTCCTTTCACTGTTCATCTTTTTTATCTTCTTTTTCTTAGGTAAGTCCCTTTAACATTTCATATAATAAGGGCTTGGTGATGATGAACTCCTTGAATTTGGTCTTATCTGAGAAGCACTTTATCTGTCCTTCCATTCTAAATAAAAACCTTGCTGGATAGAGCAATCTTGGTTGTAGGTTTTGGTTTTCATGACTTGGAACACTTCTTTCCAGCCCCTTTTTGCCTGTAAGTTCTCTTTTGAGAAATCTGCTGACAGTCTGATGGGACTGTAGGTGACAGTCTCCTTATCTCTTGCTGCTTCTAGGATTCTCTCCTTCATTTTCATCTTGGCTAATGTAATGATGATGTGCCTTGGTGTGTTCCTTCTTGGGTCCAACTTCTTTGGGACTCTCTGAGCTTTCTGGATTTCCTGGAAGTCTATTTCCTTTGCCAGAATGGGGAAGTTCTCTTTTATTATTTGTTCAAATAAGGTTTCCACTCGTGACTATTCCTCTCCCCCTTCTGGCACCCCTATAATTTGGATGTTGGAACGTTTAAAGATGTCCTGCAGGTTCCTAAGCATCTCCTTATTTTTTTGAATTCTTGTTTTTTCATTCTTTTCTGTTTGGTCATTTTTTCCTTCCTTCTGGTCTACTCCCTTGATTTGAGTCCAGTTTTCTTTCCATTACTATTGGTTTCCTGTGCATTTCCATTCATTTCAATTAGTTTATCCTTCATATATTCCTCTAATTTGTGACTAAAATCAACCAGTTCTGTCAGCATCCTGATCACCAGTGTTTTGAACTGTGCATCTGAAAGTTTGGCTATTTCTTCATCACTTAGAGTTATGGGCTCTGGGGCTCTGAGTTGTTCTTGAGCCATGTTTTTATCTGTTTGTGCCTGTTATGTACAAGGAGCGGAGCCTTAGTTGTTCACCAGGGTGGGGCCACCCAGGTCGCTGGTTTGTGACGCTGTATGTGGGGGTGGGGTCAGAGAGGGAGCAATGGCGGTCCTCTCCCCTCGCCCAGTCCGTCCCACCACTCGCCCCCATCTGTTTATCTGAGCAGAAATGTGCCAGCCTGCCACCCTGCGGTCTCAATGCTCGCCTCTTCACTGGTTTATCTGCACACAAATGCCCGACCAACCGCAGACAGCCAGCCGCGCCTCTTCTCCGTGTCCGCCTGTAGCTAAACCGCACCTGGGATCTGCGCCTTCGGCTGCCTGCGCACCTCCTGGGTCGGGGAACTTTTTGGCCAACCCGCTCCGCTGCTGGCTTCGCCCCTTTTACCGGTTTAGCTGAGCAGTATTGTCGGTTTTCTGTGTAGTTTGATTGCGTTTATTGTTGTTAACACTCTATTGTTTTCAGATTTGGTTGTGCGAGGATGCAAGGTGTTTCCACCTACGCCTCCATCTTGGTGGAGGTCCATCTTTATGTACTTATTTAGCCTATTCCTGAACAGATCCCAGTTGGACATCTTCAAATGTCATGTGTCTGTCAGGAGCTGTGACAGTGACCCTAAGATGACCCACGTTATAGCGTCAGAGCTGTCTACTGCCTTTGACCAGAACCATCTTTACTCCCCGAAGACGGTGTCCACACTGAGGCCAGCACATCCGAGGGATGGGAACAAGATCTGAGTCTCTGGGGATTGGGAGCTGCTGAATCGACCAAGCCGACATCCTACCGCCACACTTCTCATTAGGTTAGAAAATAACCTTCCTTTTTAGTTAGGCTAATTTAGGTGATTCGGAGCTCCAAGGACCTGACTGCTCCCCCAAATGATCCCAGCATTCCTCCACTGAGCCTGGATTTACTCTCAGCATCCTCGGCACAGGACTGCTGGTGCAGCCGACCAATTAATTAATTAATTAGCAGCTTGCGTTCTAGAGAGAGCCTACTTGCCATCCCTGGCGACGCCGAGTCACCTTTTGTGTGGCTGCAATTAAACCCATCTGGAGTGCAAAGTAAGAAGCTTCCTTTTTAAGCTTTTAATGACTTTGAACGACTACCACTGATCACTCAGCCACAGTTCACAAAGCTTTATGTAATTTGCTGCCGCCCACGAAGAACCCATCTCTGGCAGCTGCAGCTCCAGAGAGGGACGGTCATGGAACTGGATTCTGTCTGTCACTCGAGAACTATGTCTTACTTTCCTTCCACGGACCACACGCTGGGGACTGTGGGGGGAAATTAAAGAAGTACAGGTTCTAGAGCACAAACAGCTGAGGGAGGAGAAGTGATATGAGTTCTGGAGAGCAAAAATAGTTAATACTCCACAGGGTAGGAATCATTCACATTTTTATTTTAGTATAATGAATAATATATGGGTGGTAACGTGCACAAATCTTAAATGTGAACTTCAAGGGGTTTTAAAAAATGAATACATCCATGCACCCAGCATCCAGATTAAGAAAGAGAACATTCACAGACCTCAGAAGATTCTCTCATTTCCCTTCCTAGTCAATAGCCCTGCCTTTCAAAATAACCGCTGTTCTGATGCTGCTGAAATTCTAGTTATACTGTTCTGCTTTTTCCTCTCCTTGGGCATTTTAAAATTGTATAAGGTACTATTTTATACATATAAAAGAATTTACTTGTGATATATAATAACAAATAATAATGTAATCAATGCCTATGAAACAACTACCTACCCCTACAACTGGAACATGTCCAAGATCTTACATCTTCTCATGGGGTCCTTTCTCCATACCCCTTTCTCTCCCCTGGAGATAATTACAATCTTAAACTCCCCATTTATCATTCCAACGTTTTCTAGTTATGCATCTATGAATAAGCAATACATTGTTTGGTTTTACTTGCTTTTTAAGTTAATTAGTAAATTTGACTTCATACTATACTATATAGTCTTCTGGTACTTGCCTTTTCCTTTTAACATTATTTCTAAGATTCACCCATGTTATTTTTGTGGCTATTAGCTCACATATTTTTCACTGCTATGTCATATATCCTTGTGATACTACCTACAATTTATCCATTTTGTGTTAATGGACATTTGATTTATTTATTTTTTTGTTTTGCTGTTGTGAACTGCACTATTAAGATTCTTACTCATATTTCCTGATGAATATGTGTAAGAGTTTCTTTTGGGCCCTGACCAGCGTGGGTCAGTTGGTTGGTCATCATCCCGCAAAGCGAAGGGACCCCGGTTTGATTCCCGGTCAGGGCACATTTGGTGTCCAGTCTGGGCGTGTAGGAGAGGCAACCAATCCATGTTTCTCTCATATCGATGTTTCTTTTCCCTCTCTTTCTCTCTCCCTTCCTTTCTTTCTAAAAGTAAATAAAATATTTTTTTAAAGTTTCTCTCTGGTATGAATCTAGGAGTGGAATTGCTGGTTTTTATGATGTGAAAATATTCAGCTTTAAAAGGCAAATGTTCTGATTTTTCATTTGGCAATAGTTTATGAGTATTTGTCCTTAAAATTCTTCTTTACCACGCTGGCTGGCATAGCTCAGTGGGTTGAGCGTGGGCCTGTGAACCAAAGGTTTGCTGGTTTGATTCCCAGTCAGGGCACATGCCTGGGTTGCAGGCCAGGCACCCAGTAGGGGGCATTTCAGAGGCAACCACACATTGATGTTTCTCTCCCTTTCTTTCTCCCTCCCTTTCCCTCTCTCTAAGTAGATAAATAAAATCTTTTTAAAAAAGGAAATTAAAAAAAATTCTTTACCTAAAGGAAAAAAGCAACATAAAGTTATAAAACACTAGTCAGATGTAAGGTTATGTATGAAAGCTCAGATATTGTCTGACCACAGCAGGATCTAAATAAACATCTAATAGCTTTAGGATGAAGGCCATCCTCATGCATATTGTCCATCAGCGCCCATCATTTATAAAAAACCTGAAAACCCCCCTTAGTGCGAAGTGTTAAGATAAACAAAGCTAAGCACTAGATAAAGTATTATGGGCTTATTTTAATCAGTAATATACAATTGCAATGGGGAAAAAAAGTCCAGTATGAACTGAACTGAACTTTGTACAGAGTTGTCTCAGTGGGGGAGGAGAGAATGAGAGCATGGGGATGGGGGGTGAACAGTGGTGGGAAAAATTACAAGTGCGAAGACGATGTTGGTCTACAATAAAGAAACCCAGCCAGGTGTGAGTCTCACCCCACCTATCCTTGCTCATCCTCTGCCAGTCACTCGCCTCTTCCTTCTATGCCTTATACACTGAACTTGTTTCCTCATGGAGCCTTCACTCTGCTCCCTCTGCTTGGAATGTTCTAAAGCCAAGGTCGATTTTGCAAGGCTGACCCTTTATCACTCAATGTTTCAGCTCAGACGTCACCTCCTCAGAGGCCTTCCCTGACCATATCGGTATTCTCCTTTCATCACCCTGCTTTTCTGGTCCCAGCCCTCCCTATTGCTCATATTTTGCTTCCTCCACTAGCCTGCGAACTCTATTAGGGCCGGGATATTTTCTCTTGTAGTTGTCACTGTCCCCCCAACACCTAGATTAGTGCCTACCACTAGGGTGGCGTTCAATAAAGATTGAGAAATCCGCGTAAGTTAATTGTGGAATCACTTTCTCCAGGCAGCGCCGTTTCTAACCACGTGGAGGGACCAGAGCAGTGGCTGCTGGCGTGCCGGGAGTGACAGCTCAGCCGCAGGCCCCGCCCCCAGCCCCGCCTTTGTCCTTGTCTTCCACCACCGGTCTCCATAAAGTTCATTTGGCGGCGCGCTGCGCGGGGGCTCCTGGGAGCGGCCGGCCTGGGCCAATCAGGAAGCGCGGGTGAGCGGCGCGAGAAGCAGCGGCCGCGTTTTCTAACTCGGGCCTGGGTGGTGTACACGGCTGTATTGCTCGGTAAGGCTGTCTCTGGCAGAGTCCTGGGCCCCCGGCGCTTGTCCTTGAACCCTGGGGTTCCGAGGCTGGGCGGAGCTGGGTCCCCACGCCGTGAGTCCTGCTGCTCACGCTTCCCGATCGCCTAGTGGCGGACGGGATCGCGAGGCTGACGCCGGCGACACAGCTCAGGTCTAAACGCCCCGGCAGAGTGTCGGGCTGGCCTGCGTACCGGGAGTGCCTTCTGTCTGCCCGCTTCCTGAAGACGGAGCTTTGTGGTCCCGACTCCCCAAGGTAGCGCGACGCGACGCGCCACGCCCCTGTCCCACCCCCACGAGCCTACCTACCGGTCGGCGCCGCCTCCCCTCCACTACACTCCACCACGCCCTGCCTGTGTGCCCTCCCCTGGGAAGTGCACCCTGTCCGGAGGCGACCTTGACGACCCCCTTAGCCTCTCCCGACCTGTTGTCTCCCCTACCGCATCCCTCGGAATGCTCCTCCCCATCCAGGGAGGTGCCAGTGATGAGAACTGGGAGGTGGCTCGAACTTTCTCTGGGTTCACAGCATCCCATCTTCTGCAAAGGCAATACTTAAGATTATGGGGTCTCTTTTTCAAAGTTACTGAGCCGACCGCAGGGGTCTTTGGTCAAAGTTTGGAGGACCCTTTGACCGAGTCGCTGGTCTGGGTCTGCCCCTCTGCAGGTGTGAGAAGGAGGTGTGTGTTTGCCTAACCAAAATGGCTTTCAGCAAGCAAAGATCGCCATTTGTATTCCTGCCGGGAGGCGTGAGAGTGTGTCCTTGGGCATCGTACCTTTTCTTTCTTTCACCTCTATCCTTTGTGCAATTGTGTTTGGGACATTTTCTTTCATGGCGATCTCATCGAGGCTCAGTTTTAAAATAGCCATATATTAAGCTGACATGTCATGTTTATATCTCCCGCTTGGCCCTCTCAACCTGCATTCAGCTGCCTACTTAATTGTATCTCCGCTGAGGTGGTTGATAGGGAGCTCCGACTGAACATGTGTTATCAATTAAATCTCAAGAAAGCTGGGGAGAATAGAGAAAAGTAACTAAAGGCACTGCAGAAATACAAGTCTCGCCCTGACTGGGTGGTTCAGTGTGTTAGAGTGTCACGTCCTCTACACCAGCCCATTGCAGGTTCCATTCCCAGTCAGGGTACATGCTTAGGTTGCAGTTCCATCCCTGGTGGGGGCCATGGGGGAGAGAACCAATAGTCAGTGTTTGTCTCACATCGATGTTCCTTCATCTCTCTCTAAAATCAGGAAACATATCCTTGGGTGAGGACCAAAAAAATAAAAGTATTCCTTGCTATCTAAATATGTTTAGGTAATGAGAGTTTGGATAGGAAATTTGGAGAGTGAGGGGTATCATGTCATCTGTTTAGTATTTGGTTTCCTGAGTTTTCGATAGAGTAGCAATAGTCTAGGTGGCTAAAGTGTGTCTGCATCTGTTTGGTTTCTGAGGCTGGAGCGTGGAGCACGCATGTAAATAAGCCCAGGTCATGCAGAGATGTGAAGGAGATGGGTTAGTTAGGACCCAGGAGAGAGAGTCCAGGGGGCAGAGCTGAAGGAGCAGGGGAGGGTAGCCAACTCCGAGTCACGGTGTGGGTGGGTTGCAGGAGCAGGCTGGGGTGCGGATTTGACAGTCACTGTCTCCGAGCATCCAGGGGCGGGGTGACACAAGCACTTTGGAGCAGTGAGTTAGGAGCATTTGAAAAATTAACAGGTTATGAGAGTTCGAAAGGGTCACACACACCCGTGGAAAAGAAATCAGACTGATGGTATAAAATGAGAACTAGAAATGTCCCAACTCTTACCTTCACCGATGGGAGGTAATGCTAAGTTAAGTTACTTGGTATGCTAATGTGTTTTGTGCTATTCTAAAAACTATCTGTGAACAAACCATTCGTGCATAGTTCAGTAAAATTTTAAATAGTTATTCCCTCTTGTGACTGCCACCCATATTATGATGTAGAACATTTCCAATTCCCCAGTGTGTCAGCTTGGGCTTCCGTGACCAAAATAAACTACAGAAGTTTGGCTCAATCAGTGAGGTTTGGTTCGCACAGTTCTTGAGGCTGGAAGTCCACAATCAGGGCGCCGGCGTGGTTGGGTTCTGGTGAAGGCTCCCTTCCTGGCTTGTAGATGGCCACCATCTTGCTCGCTGTGCACTCATGTCTTTTCCTGGATGCAGGGGGAGGGGGAGCGAGGAAGCAAGCTCTCTGGTGTTTCTTTAAAAAAAAAAAAGATTTTATTTATTTACTTTTAGAGAGAGAGGAAGGGAGGGAGAAAGAGAGGGAGAGAAACATCAGTGTGTGGCTGCCGCTCGTGTGCCCTCTACTGGGGACCTGGCATAACCCAGGCATGTGCCCTGACTGGGAATCAAACCTGGGACTCTTTCGTTCGCAGGCCTGCACTCGTCCATTGAGCTACACTAGCCAGGGCTCAACATAAGAATTTTTGTGGGATACATTTCAGTCCACAACACCCAGAAAGTTCTATTGTACTCTCTCTATTGCCTCCCAGAAATAACTGGTGTTCTGATGTCTAGAACCACAGATTAGTATTTTTTCTGTTTTAAAAATTTGTATAAATGGAATCATGCAGTATGTCCTTTTTCTGGTATCTGGCTGCTTTAGCTCACCGTTATGTCTGAAATTTATTCCTGGCCTTCCGTGTAGTTATAGTTTGAGCTTTTCTATTGCTGTATGGTACACCAGGGTGTGAGCGTAACCATCACAGTCCCAGATGGGGTGATACTGTATATACAGCAGCTTTTAGTGGGTTTTTTTTGGAAGGGGAGGGTCTCAGACTTTTGTTAGGCTGTAATAAAAGCTATAGTGCTTTTCTTATATTACAAAAAAGTTGAATGTATTTCTAGGTGTCATGGCCCTCAGGACAAGAAGCCTTCCTTGGTTTACAGTAGGGTTTCTCAAACTCAGCACTATTGTTATTTGGGGCTGGATAATTTTTTGTTGTGGAGGCTGTGCTGTGCGCTGTGGGATGTTTAGCAGTGCCTATGACTTTTACTCGCTAGATGTCAGGAGTACAAAACCCTTCTCCCTCAGTTGTGACAACCAAAAATGTCTCTCCATGTTGGCAATGACCCCTGGGAGGCAAACTTGCCCCTGGTTGAGAATCATTGGTTTAGAGAGAAAAGCCAGAGCCAAAGACTTCTCAGAGGCAGAGTGGGTGATCTGTCATGTGCCAGTTGGAACATGGGGTGGGTGTCACTCCTAAGGTTCTGTACACAGGTAGTTCTGTACACGATACTTATGCATTCCTGACTGCAGACACAGAATCACCCAGTCTATAATATCTCTTCTGTCTAGGGTAATCTATTTCAGTTCTTTATTTTCTCCGAAAGTCTGCCTTCTGAATAATGATTACAGTAGGTCTAACTTTGTTTTCGTCTTACAGACTATAAAGAATTATCCAGCAACAATTTTTTTAAAAAATCATTATTCTCTTCCCAGAAGCCTCTGAAACAATAGCGTCTGGCAAGATATAATTTTCTTTTTGGTGGGTGTAATGGACAACTGACAGATACGGTAAAGGGTGGAACGAATCTGTCATCTAACCATAGTTTATATATTCAAGAAGAGAGGAGAGTGAAACCAGTCGCTGATATCTCGAGTGAGGCTCTACCCATTAATCTTTGGTGTTGAATACTGAACACAGCTCTGTGTCTTCATCCCATTATAGTTTAATTAATAAGAAGGTTTGAGGCAGCCACTGCTGGGTAACTGTTGGTTGCAGTGTCGTCTTGGTAACACCAGGGTAGTGGGTTCTGTCCCTGGTTAGGGCACATTCGAGGAGCAACCAGTGAATGCATAAATAAGTGGAACAATACATCAACATTCCTCTTTCTTTCTCTCTCTCCCTCCCTCCCCCTCTCCCTCCCTCTCTTCTCCCTCCCCCTCCTTCCTTCCTCTCTCCTTCTCTAAAATCAATTTAAAAAAAGAAGAAGAAGGTTTGAGGGCAAGATTTCCACTTGAAATTAAGTGCTGCATTTCTTTTGAATCCCACCTTCACTATGGAAATCTGAATTTATAATAATAGCCATATAAGATATAATTGAATGACAAAATGTTGCCAGTTGGCAGCTTTGGGAAAAAGCTAGTGTAGCCTTTTACAATGATACAGATCAGTGGAGTTCATAAAACACTGTCTTGTGTGTTATCAACCTCTCGAGTAGGTAGGGATCATTTCATAGCTGAGACTGAGAGGAGACCTCTGCATTTCATCCCAGGGGTCAAGGGCCCCCTTTCAAGCTAGTGAGGGGGCCCCCTGGACTAAAACCAGGCTTGTGGGTTCAAAATTCAGTCTTCTCCTGTTTACCCATTCTGTTTAAAATACTCTTTTTGGATTTGTCCTGTTGTCATATTAAAACTTTAAGAATAATTGAAAAAAGGGATAACATTATTAGTTGTACATTTTAAAGAAAAAAAGCAAAAATAACAGCATGAGTTAATTTCCTTGGGTGTGTGTGAAATTTCCCTTTCAGACAAAAAAATCACCACACTGCTGACTGTGCGTTTGGTTCAGGTGATGTTTGGGTGTGGTATGAAGTTCGAGTTCACTGTGAGTGGTAACAAGTACTGTCTGAATGTAATGAAATTGCAGGGAAAGTTGTGTCGTTTTTTCATGCAGATGGGTGAATCTTGAGATTCCTTTAACAGATGGCCTTGCCTTTATTTTTTCTTCTTTCTCGGGCCTTTTTGTTTCTTGGACAACTGGGGTGTTTGGATTGTGGGTGATGAGGAAAAAAGAAAAATTCACGTGGTTTAATATGTTGCGTTGTCTTTGAAAAGGACCAGGAGGTCCGTCTAGCATTCTGTGTGTTAGGTCAAAAGAACATGTACTGGGCAGATTTCATCATTTATAAAACACATTTCTTCTCCCAAATATACTCTTCAAATAAACAGTGTCAGGAGAGCAGGGCAACGGCGGCAGGTCTGTCGTGTTGCTCGTTCCCTCTTCCTGTGGTCACCACGGAGGCCTGGGGATGGACAGCAGGTCCGTGCCCACGGCGAGCAGGCAGCTGGGATTTGCTCACCAGGTCTGGCTCAGATGCCCTTGGCAAGCTACAACCCGGGGCCAGAGAGGCTAAGAAGAGTTGTTATATCTTTAGAAATCATTGAAAAGATTCAGAGGAGACTTTCAGGACAGGTGATATGACGTGAAATTCACATTTGAGTGGCCATAATTAAAGTTTTGCTGGCGGGCAGCCACCCTCCTTTGTTTACATGTTACCCACTTTAAGGGAGACTCGAGGGGTAGCTAGGGACCAGCCCAAGAAGCCCAACATGCTCACCGTTGCCCTTCTGCAGAGAAGGTTGCTGACCTTTGGCCTAGGTGACTGGTCTCAATAACTAGAAGGGCTCAGCTTGTTGACTGGAAGCTGAGTGTCTTCCTGTAAGGGAACAGCGCCCTTCCTGCCCTCTCGTTCCCCTCCGCTGCCTCGCTTCTGACACCAGGTGTGTGGGTTTGCCACACAGCAAGCCACGCTCAGATTCCCTGGACACCAGCTGGGTGTTCTACAGCTTAACTCAATGCGGACACTGTCTAAGTGGAGACAGCATCCAATAAGGGTTCCGTCCCACAAGACTGCTCCCCGAAGCCAGTCGCCAAGTTCGCGTTGTTGCCTGTGCTTCCGACCCCACTGGCTGTAGATCGAAGGTCCAGTTAGTCGGCTAGAGCAGGACATGGAACTCGGAGACGTTTACCTGTGTTTACCAGCTTACTAAAGGATGTGGACGGACTGCCAAAGAAAGAGGCACACAAGGGGGGCCTGGGAGGGGCCTGAGCGCCGCAGCTTCCCCATGGGACTGGCGTGTGTCACTGTTCCAGCATGTGGAAGCATTCACCGCCCAGAAGCGCATCTCATCTCATCGGGGAGGAGTTTGTATGGAGCTTAATATGCAGCCCTCTTCCCCGTCCCAGAGCCTGGTGGGCGGGGCTGGGATTTCCGGCCCTCCAAGCACCTGGTCTTCTTTCTAGTGACCAGCTCCGAGCCCATCACCCTTCCCTTTGAGTCTAGCTCAATGGATTCTCTCAAGTTGAACAAACACACTGTTAAATAGCACCCAGATTAAAAAACAAAAACAGAAAATCACTCCACCACAACCCCCAGGTCTCCCTTTTGTCACTACCCTGCAATGGGACCCAGCCCAGCCTCGGGACAGCAGTGGTGAATTTCAGGTGCCCTGGTGGTGGAAGAGGTGTGTGGAGGCTCAGTAGGACGCCCGCCAGGTGGCGCCAGAGAGCACCATTGCCCAGGCCCCAGGTGCCCCGCGACGGCCTCGAAGTCCCCGTGGGTGGTTTCAGAGGCCTCCCTCATCAAGCTGTCACCACCGACAGAGGGGACTCCTAGTGCTCGGAGCCCGGTTTTGCTGATTGACTCTTCCCCTCCCACTTCCGCGAGTTCGCCCGCTTCTTCCTGGCTCCCTCCTCCGGAGCTCCCCACGGTGCAGCTGGTGTCCAGTCTCTGCGTGTGTCCTGGGCAGATTTTTGCGGCATAAAGCTTACACTTACTTCATCCCTCTCCCACCCGCACCCTCGTAGTTCTTTTCCATTGGTCAGAGCTAGTGAGGTTACTTTCGTGATCAGTTTACAGCATCTTGGGTCAAAATTGATAATTTGGTTGGCTTAACCCCTATATTTTATGGCTATTTGTTATGTATTTTGCAGAGGGGATAAAAAGTGCCCTTAAATTGATAAAAATTAACCACAGATGAAAACATTTTAGTGAAATCGTATGATGACTACGTGGAAGTAGAGATTTGAAAACTTTAATAACTTTTTTGTAATTTAACTTCCATTGGTTGATTTATATATAATGCAGGACAGATCAGTGTTTCTCAAATATGGCTATATATATATATTTTTTTTTTTTTTTTTTTTGGAGATGTGGAACAAGTTTATTTTAGACTCTGAAGTTACGTAGCAAATTTCTTCCTGTGTATATACTTATCCTTTGGTTTGGAGTTCCGTTCACCCAAAAACCAGGCTGTTCTGAAATTCCACCGGGCTTTGCCTGGGTACACAGAGGGGAAGCGCTAGTCTGGACCGAGTGTGATCTGAAATCACGCCATTTGTGCTGCCTCTGCCTTCTGCTCTGCAGCCTCAGAAATGTTAAGCATCAGTTGGTAGTTGGAAGGGAATGTTTTTGCTCTGGTCTTTGCTTGCCAGTGGGTGCTGATTTGGCAGGGGAGTGCAGGAAGCTTTGAGAAGAACAGACCCACAAGTGGAGGAACGGAACTCCTCCTGTTCATTCAACAAATGACTCCCTACTGTGTGCCAGGCACTGTTCTTGGCGCTGGGGGAACGTCAGCGAACCAGACAGACAAATCCTTGTCCTTGCACAGGTGCGTTCAGCAGAGGTGACAGACAGTAAGAGAGATGGGGGAGGACCAGGGGTGCTTGCAGGTTGCATCCTTGAGTGTTTTGTTCTAGGTTCTCATCAAAGGCAAGGTGACAGCTTAGCTGAAACAGAGATGGGGAACTGTCCTGAGTGAGTCTGAGAGGAGCGATCCAGGCAGAGGAGACAGGGCGTACAGGGACTCTAGGGTGGGAATGCAGGGGGGGCCCAGCATGGCTGCAGCCAAGGCCAGGAAGGGGCACAGGGCTCCAGATGAGTCTGGGGGGTCAGAGGAGGTGGGGCCTCATCTGCGGAGCTTCACTCTGTGTAAGAGGTTTGAGCAGAGGAGGGATGTGGCCCGGCTTGAGAACAGACTGTGGGCAGTGAGGGGAGAGCAGGTCAGGGAAGAGGTGACAGTGACTCACATGGCGGAGGTGGCGGGCAGAGGCAGGTTCGGGGTACATTTTGAAGGTGGGTTTGAAGGCTTCATTGGCCTGTTGGATGTGGGGGCGGGTGTGAGTCACGTCTGCCTTCAAGGATTTGGGCCGAAGCAGTTGAGTAATGTCGTCTCCCCACTGAGGAGGCCAAGGAGCCAGTTCTGTAGGCAAAGGTTAACTCGCAGTTCAGGGCATTAAGTTTAGGGTGTTGTTTAGAGATGCAGGCTGTATTTTTGGTCAAATAGTTCTTTAAATAACTTCACAAGTCTTGTTTATTGGACTGTGTGAGAGTAAATCACGACTGTTGTTTGCCTTTATTAGTTCTACACAGACCCATCACTGAATCTTCTTGTGGGTAGGTCACGTGAGACATGGAGCACTTTCTCTGAGTTTGTCTTAGAGTAAAAAGAACGTGGGGAAGAGGCCGCTTCCTGTTTGTGGTGAGTGACGAGTTTCCGGTAATAGAATGTCATTGACCTTGTAGGTTTCTGAGAAGAAGCATGCTCTCCGTCAGTCAGGAGCGTTATGTAAAAACACTCTTCTTTCTGTCTTGGAGAATATCTTCCTCTTTCTGCCATGGCCTTCTCCCAGAGGTGGGGTTTGCCAGTTAGAGTCCGATTCTCTTGGGTTAAAACAAAAGGGGAAAAAGGCCATGATTACTGGAAACGTTGGGTAGAGTTACTGTGTACATGACTGTCTTTAGACTGCAATCAGTTCAGCACTTCAGAAAGAACACCAGTGTGTTCCAGCAGAAGCTATTTTTGTTTTAACCCTGTGGCCTTGCCTTTAAAGTGAACATTTTTTAACGTTCACTTGAACGAGTTCTTGTTCTCCTGCTGTGGGTTCACGGTGGTGACCATGGCCTTTAGAACGCCAACCAGCGTGTCCTCGCTGAGACGTGTGCGGTGGAGAAGTATCATCACCAAGAGCTGCTGTGTGAGGAGTTTTGTTATTTTTAAATAAGTAATTTTGTTAGCTTTATAGCAGTGTAAAATTTTTTTTTAATGATGGTGGTGATACTGTTTATCTTCTTGATTTACATGGTGGGAGGAGTTAACAGTCTTGGTCCAGAAGCTTACACAAGGACAGGGCAGTGTGTGTTTCTACATCTGTAAATATGGAACGTCCGTGGAGTGTCGGCTCTGTTTATAGGGATTTTCTTGGTCCACCGGTGGAGAGACACGGTGTCTTGTTGGCGTTCGTGGTCTAGAAGCCAGCTGCTCTTTACCGGGTCCGGCAGAAGTGACGCCATGGAGTGTGTTGGCGGGTGTGTGAATGCCTTGCACACGGTGGACAGCAATTTGAACGCTTCATCTAAAATGCCATGTGGTGTGCTTGAGTGTAATAGGATTATGTTACAGAATTGCATGCTTATGATTTTGTAACAAAAGATTTTTTATGTAATAAAAAGGGGGTGTTATTTGTGCCGGACCCTGTATATTACTATATTAGTAGCTGCCGTATGTCTACAAGTAGTGGCTACATTAACAATTAAGTCTAATATCTGCGCGTCATAACAAGCAGACACAGATCTCTGCTCTGAGGTACCTCGTAAGCTAAAGGACATGTTCATGGAGACTTGGACATGAATTTGAAGAGACTGTCTTGCACGTTAGTGCAGGAGCAGGTGGTGAGGATAACATGGAGTTCGTCCCCAGACCCGTCGTCTTCTGGTCTTGGTTCAGCTGCTTTGCAGTGGAGCGTAGTCCGGGCACAGAACTGAACTCCGTGGACTGGAGCTGCTTCCCCCATCTGCTCAGGAGGATCCTGAGATAAGGGCCTTATGAATTGCCCGGCGCCCTGCAGGCAGCGGTGTTTTATCACTGAGACCTGGAGAAATGGGAGGTGGAGGGTGGTCGCCCTTACAGCCTCCCGGTTGCTGTCTCGGCTCCATTTTCCTTGTCAGCTCGAGTCTCAGGGACGAGGCAGGGGCCCTGGTCTGTGGCTTAGTATCTTTGCATTTTGTTCTGGTGGCAGAAATCAATTTTGGGACTGTCAGTCTGCACGGAAATGATCTATTTCTCCACCGTCTGGCTCATTTTCTCCATCAGGCCCGTTCTTAGGCTCTGTTCAGGAGGCGTCCCCTTGTTGATGAGCTGTCTCCTTGTCTGTCTACAAAACGTCGTGTTGTTTCGTTAAGCTCGTAACGGGTTCCGGTGGTGGTTGAAGCCTGTCATTCCCGTTTTCCTCCCCGCTGTAGGACCCGAGCCTCCGATGGACACTGAGGGGTTTGGCGAGCTCCTGCAGCAGGCCGAGCAGCTCGCCGCCGAGACCGAGGGCGTCTCGGAGCTTCCCCATGTGGAGCGGAACCTGCAGGAGATCCAGCAGGCGGGCGAGCGCCTGCGATCCCGCACCCTCACGCGCACGTCCCAGGAGACAGCAGATGTCAAGGCGTGAGTGCTGGTGGGGAGGCAGGATGCGTTTCTTCCTTCCCGTCTTGGGTTTGGACTCAGAGCCTCGTGTAAACAGGCCAGCAGCCCCGCTCGGGCTCCCTGCCCGGGCTGTCCAGCCCGTCTGACCACGCCGTGAGCCCTTGTCACAAGCAAAGGTGCCCAGGATGGGAGGGGGCGAAGAGGTTTGTCATGCAGACACCAGGGACAGTGGTTCCCGCTTGAGGTCACTGACTGTGGGGTTGTGATGGCTCCTGTGCGTATGTTAGTCACGGTGGGCCACGCAGGTACGTGTTACCTCTGTGCCAGAGAGCACTGGGTGATGGGCAGTTTTTAAGAACATTTGGGAGAAATTGCTGTGCAGTCAGTGGCGAGAAGCCGTCCAGGTGAGGAGTGGGGGTCTGCTCACTGTCAGCGACTCCATAGGCCGCCTCCCAGAGGCCTTGGCAGTGCCACACCCACCAGAGAGTGCAGCACGGGAAGGCGGGTGAGTGCCAGGGAGTGCGGCTGCAGAAGCGCTGACGCCGGCTACCTGGTGGCTGCCGCATGGCAGAGATGGGCTGTTGGTGCCAGGTCTGGGCCCGCTCCAGGGCTCCAGCCATTCATTAGACGTGGTCCTTGCCCTCAAGGAGCTTATAATTTTGGAAGGCAGGAGGAAAATCTTGCTGCTTTCCATAAGTGTGATTTACTGATTACTTACTGTGCCTCGGCCTCTCGGCCAGTGTTAAGGTTGTTGTCCCCTTATTGCAGCTGAGCGGCTGGGGCTCAGAGAAGGTGAGTGGTTCTCAGATCACACAGCTGGTGAGCGGGGAGCCAGGCCTGACGCCCAGAGGGCCAGCTCCAGAGCACACCCTCCCTCAGCAGGGATGGAAGGGTCACGGGAAGGTGGAGGGGTGCCGTTATTCGTGACCTTGGTGGGTCTGGAAAGTCACTGAGATTCTGTGTGGGAGATGTGGACAATGGTCCAGTTCCGAATTGAACTTGAGAAGGGCTGACGTGCTGACATTGACATGGGTACATTGTTTTGGGTATGTAACAAATGTCCCAGGAGTGAGTACAAAGGCTTCATTCTTCTTCCAGCTAATCTTGAAAGCTGAATCTTCTGGCTGCTCCTCTGAGTCAGTAAGTGTGTTGTAGAAATTCTTCTGTGGGTCTCCCCAGAAGTTTCTTTGTAAAGACAGGCCCGGTTAGTTTTGGTGCTGGTGGTGCTGGTTAAAGGCAGGTCAGAGGAAGCCCAGCAGGAGTTGTCAGCTCTGCAGCCTTGCGAGCACATGCAGCCAGCCGCTGCCCACCCAGCGCCCCAGCGCCCCAGCGCCCGTTACAGCCACCTTGCCCTCCCTGCAAGCCCCTCACTGCTGCCCCTGCTGCCTGCAGCAACCCCCCATCCCGCCGGTCTGAGTTGCAGGCTCCGTGCTCGGGTGCACGGATGCTGCTGGAGCCGAAGGACCGTGATGCCAGCTGAGTTGCTATAGTTATAATTTAATTGCATCAGCTTTACAGCCTATTAAGAGCAAAAAGGGAAAATGTTTTCTTGGTAACAGTTAACAGTCATGCTCTCTTTCTTGTAAATTTCCATTCTTTCTCATCTTTTTCCACCTTAAATTTATTATTTGAGGGAGGAGGAAGTTGGAATATTGAAAGAATGGGTGTAGGGTGGGGCATTTGCGGCAAAATAAACCCCGGGGCTGACGACAGTACTTTTCCACCTTCTCCATGGGCAGAGCTGCGAAGTGTGCTCTGAGTGTTTCAGTGCAGGGTGAAGAGAGCGGAGAGGACTGAGTGGGGAATTTCTCTCTTCCACGAGGCAAATTTTGAAAGAAAATTCTGTCTTTAAGATTTTAATTAAAAGTAGATTATAGGTTTCAGATTGAATTGTTTGGTGCTGGATTCATTTGTTTCAATACACTTTGTTGGATTTTTCGTTTTAGGGAATAGATTTGACAGCTTTTTGTTTCTGTGTGTTTAATGTTTTTAAATTGTCCAATTTCCTTCGCACGCGGAAAAGGGTACACATCACCTATGTAAAGGTGTTTGCCGGGGGTCCGCGAGCTGTGGCCCATGAGCCTGCGGGAGCTGCGTGGGAGCTCGGCCGCGCCTCGTGCGCTGTCTGTGCTGCTGCAGCCACGGACCTGAGTGTTGAGCTGCGCCTGTAGGGCCTGGACGGCCTGGAGTGGTTACTGTCGGCCTTTGGGAAGAAGTTCGCTGACTCCTGGTGTAAATGATGGAATGAATTGGATACCCACGTGCGCCTTGCACGTTGAGATACAGAGTCTCCTTGGTAGTCATGACGCCCTGCCCCCCCCCCATCAGTTGCACCTCCCTTCTCCCCTCAGAGGGGTCTCATTGGATTTGCGGCAAATCCACTCAAGCCCAGAAGCCAAGCCACCTAGAAGTGAGAAGTGTCCAGGGGAAAAGCCAGCAACCACTCCTTCTCCCTCATTTTATAGTCCAGGGTCACCGTGTCATTAATTGCTTGTTCTTTCACACTCTTCTCCATATTCATGCAAAGCAAATAAATGCACATTTATTTGCCCCAAGCCACACTGCGAATCATAACTCTGCTCATGCTAATACTACTAAGCTACCTTTTCAAGCACTTACTATTTGTGAGGCCTGTGCCAAACACTTTACATGCCTTATATAATAATTTCTTCTTAAAATAACCCTGTGAAATAAGTGTTATTATCTCCCTTGTAGAATTGAGGAACGTTAGCTAGCAAGTGGCCAAGCCAGCATTCCAGTCCAGCTTGGTCAGTGAGACTCCCACGTGTCTGTCGGGCACTTTTCAGGATTCAGAGGATCATCGTGGGCACTCTTCTGGCCGATGGTCTTCACAAGCCCGAGAGGTGGGCGAGGCAGGGAGTTCTGTCCACATTTAACAGAGAAGTGGTGCTTGGACAGGTGAGGCGTCTCAGATTTTCAGGCAGTGAGTGACAGGTGGAGCTTGTGTGCAGACGCCCTGATGTTTTTCCTGCTCCCCGCGGATACCGGAACAGCTTTTCTTTTACTTTCCTGGGACCGGAATGTTTGATTCCCCTCTGTGCCTTTGCTTAGGAGAAGCTGCTTGGTTTACCGACATTGGGGTCTGGCAGAGGGCGGGAGGCCTCTGGGTTTTCCCACCCTTAGAAGCTGGAGGTTTCTGGGACCCATGCTGTCGGTCCTCTCTCCCTGCCCCCCACCGGGGCTTCTGCACAGTTTCTGCTCCAGCCACTGAGGTGATCTTTCTCTTCTGGCAATTCTGATAGCTCACCCTTGACTGCCAAGGTCCTCAACACCGATACACCTTGAAACCACCGGGCACTGGGGACATGCCTGCCTGTCACATGCAATTACAGTGGCCGTGAGACAGAATGTGGCCATACTTGGCATATTTTCCTTCAATCCAGCCACTCCACTCCTGGATCCATCCCAAAGATGCACAGCCAAAAGTCGGAAATGACGTATGCACGAGGACGGTCGTTATTTACAGCAGAAAGTGTTGGAAACATACATGCACCGGAGCGGACTGGTGACTCGATGGGGGACGTCTGTGTCGTGGAGGACTTCCCAGGAGCAGGAAGGGACGAGAGCACATGCCCGCGGAGTGACTCCGCAGGTGCTGTCAGGTTTAGTGAAAGTGCACGCTGGAGAAAAGCGTATGGTGCCCTCATTCATTTAACAAAGCAGGTGCAAGACATCCCATGTACCTGAATCAGAAGACTTAATTTTTTAAACTCAAATTTATTGGGGTAGCATTAGTTAATGACATTCTAAGATTTGATTCAGATAGTTCCCTAGTGCATCATCTTCATACGCCCTTGTCTGCCTGCCACCCAGAGCAGAAGACTAGAACCATCAACACGTTAATGCTCCCGGTTCATCTGTAGATTCCGTGTAGTGTCTGTCAAAGGTCCACCTGCTGTGTTGTTTTGTAAAAATTGACAAGTTGACCCTAAAATCCATATGGAAATGCAAGGGACCTAGAGTAGCTCCAACAACACTTAAAAAAGCAGAAGAAAGTTGGAGGACTCATGCTTCCAAATCCAAACCTTCCTACAAAGGCAGCCGTGAGGACCAGGGTGCTGGCGTAGGGACAGACACACAGATGACAGACACACAGATGAGGTGCACAGAGTTGTGAGTCCCGCGGCAAACCCGTGTGTCTGTGATCAGCTCATTTCCAACGAGGGAGCCACGGCCGTTTGGTGTCTTCTCGACACCTGCTGCTGGATGTCTGCACGCAGAGGATGAAGTCAGACACCTGAACTCAGAGTGGAGCGCAGGCCTAAGTGTGAGGGCTGAAAGTTTAAAACTCTAGGTGAAAGCGCACTGTAAATCTCCCTGACCTTAGGTTAGGGACAGCCTGGTCGGGTGTGAAACCAAAGCAAGAATAAAAGACCTCTGTACTAATTAAAACAAAACAAAACAAAAACTTGTGTGCTTTAAAGGACTCCATCAAGAAAGTGAGAGCAGAACCCACAGAATGGGAGAAAATATTTGCAAATTCTACATCTGAGAAGGTACTTATATCCAGAATATGTAACAAAAAATTCTCACAGCTCAAAAATAAATAAAAAGCCCAATTTAAAAGTGAGCAAAAGATCAGAGTAGACATTTTTCCAAAGAAGTTATATACATTTCCAGGAAGCAAATGAAAAGATGCTCAGCGTCCCAGTCATCAGGGAAATTTGAACCAAAACCACAGTAACATACCACTTCACGCACATGCACATGCACCCACACGCACAAACACACATGGAAAGCCGTAATCAAAAGGACAGGCAGTAACGTGTCAACGAGAATATGGGAAAAGCTGGGAAAAGCGGAAACTCTCATACCCCGTGGGTGGGGTATAAAGTGCTGTAGCGTTTCCTCCAAGGTTAGATACAGAGTTGCATCCAGCCCAGCATTTCCACTCGTGGGTGTGTACCCAACAGGGATGAGGACAACTGTCCGCACAAAAACGTGCACACACGTGTTTAGCAGTATTCACGTGAGCCGAAAAGTGGAAACAACCCAATGTCCCTCAGCTGGTGACCTGGGAGATGACACGAGGCGTATCCGTACCATGGAACACTGTTTGGCAATACAGACAGTGAACCACTGAGGCACGATTCAGTGTGGACGGACCTGGAAGACCTTACGCTCACTGAGAGAAGCCCGTCACCGAAGAGCATGTGCCGTCTCGTTTCATTTATGTGCCGTGTTCAGAAAAGGCACATTTACACAGGTAGAAAGTAGATTGGCATTTGCCTAGGGACTGGGTAGGCTGGGGGGCGGGGGGAGTGACTGCTGATAGGTAGGGCTTTAATTTTGCAGGGTAAAGAAAATGTTCTGAAATTGATTGCAGTGATAGTTGTACAACCTTGTGAATACACTAAAGCTTACTGAATTACGCTTTTTAAATGGCTGAGTTGTATGGTATATGAATTATATCTCAGGAAAGCTGTTGTGAAAAGGGAAGGAGGGGTTACGAGGGCATCGCCCAGCACCGGTCGGAGTCCTTGGGAGGAAAGGTGCCTGGGTGATTCTAATGGAGCAGCCGGGGCAGGGAGCCTGCGTTAGCTGTAAGGATTGTTAGGAGGGAGAGGCAGGGTCATCTGTCTGCTACGGTAACTGGCCCCAGGACGGCATCACATTCGACGTGTACACGGAGGAGGCAGAGTTCCACAGCGGGAGCCCTCCGAGTGCGTGCCATCGGTCTCTGCAGCAGGACAGAAGTAACGTGACAGGTCCTTTCTCTTCTCCGGTCATTCTGCTCAGGATTGGAAGTTTCAGGTGCCACATGCGTAGATCTTAGGGTTACTAATGCTGCCCAGTGCTCTAGCATCTTCCAAGCTACTCAGAATGCGCACAGATTCTGTCAGCGGGATTGTCAGATACTAAATCATAACCCAAAACCAACAGTCTAAACAAGCTAAATCCCCTGAGCTTCTTTCTCTCAGAAAGTGTATCAGTGAGACTGATTTTTTTAAAAAACTTCTTCCACTGTTACATTGCCTCAGATAGGTAGAAATGAAGCTCACTGTATTTATTATTCCCGTCTCTCTTCAAAAACATGTATTAGTCAGGTGGCAGCCTCCTGTATTATTGGACTGGGAACTAGAAGTACGGGGCACCTGATGGATGTTTGAAGAGATGCCGTGGAGCGCTGGCCTCGGCTTCCGCAGCTAACGGATGCAGCTTGGACCGGGCTACTCTGAAGCTCCTGAAGTTTCGTGGGTCACTGTTGCCTGGGTTTACAGAAGCCGTAAAGAGAGAGGAGGGTGGCTAAGGGCAGGGCTCGACTGGGTCTGTTCTTTCCTGTCTCCCAGATTTCAAATCAGTTGGGTTAACCTCCCTGCACCTCAGTTCCTCATCTATGAAATGAGGATTGAGAATATCGTCGGTCTCATGATCTTCTTTCCTGGAAAGTGTTTGGAGCAGTCTGGCCGGTTGTTTTATTGATATACTCTCATGTCGTTCTTGACAAATCTCTTACTCTAATTCAGCCACAATCAGAACTTCCTCTCACTGCCAGATGCGATGTCGGGTCTGTTACTTCAGGTGGTACATCTTTATGGAAAGGTATAAGATGACCATATAAAAGTGTCTAGGCGGTGTACAGGAAATTTTGGATAGAAAATACTCTCTGGTGTTATATGAAGCTTGCTAGGTGTCTTAATCCTGCTCCTCTCTCCCTGTCCTGTATCCTCACATAGGTCGGTTCTCCTTGGGTCTCGGGGACTCGACATCTCCCACATCTCCCAGCGCTTGGAGAGCCTGAGCGCGGCCACCACCTTCGAGCCCCTGGAGCCCGTGAAGGACACGGACATTCAGGTAAGGGCTGCCCGGTGTGTGGAGCGCAGCTGATTCTGGATTGCTTTGTTAATTCTCCTCTTCCTCGGATGTTAAGGGAATGGGAGGCTCCACTCTGGAGGTTGAGTGGGGAATGTTGGGTTATTTTCAGAGTGCTCCGCGGGGCTGAATTTAAGGAAGCCATGCCGACCTGTGCTTTTAGGTTATTGTAACTGTGAGAGCAGACTTCTCTTCCTTGGGTTTGATCCAAGGCACAGAGACATTAGTTGTACGGTTCTACTGCTTTCTTTGCTAGATCTCAAATAATTCTACTATTTGTCTTCCACATTTCTACATCTCGCTTGCATTGGTTGGCAAAGAGCTGGGAAAACTTAGAGTACTGTTTACTAAAACATTTTCATTGATTTCTAGGAAGTATTTGGCTGCATTAGCAGCACCAGGAAATTGTCTAATAGAGCACTCCAGTCTCATGTAACCGAACACATGACTGGCACAATTGATTGCTATTCTAACCTAATCAGAAACTGATAGATGTGTGTGCATGTGTGCATGTTTGCCTGCCAGGACTGTTGCGGAGTTGGAACGCTGCCTTTGTGTTAGAGGGACAGCAGGGCACCACTTTTATTACTGATTCACCTTTGGGTCGGAAGGACCCGGGTGCTGCAAAGGCACGTCCTAGCACAAGCAGAGGCTAATTGTGTTGCTGTCGGGCTCGGTTTGGATTAGTGCTCTGAGGACCACAGTTCTGTATTTATCCCAGCTCAGAAACCTAAAGCTCTGTGCTTTAAATTGAAAGTTGAACTAACTGTAGACACCCATTATTTTTCCTGTGGTTGATATGTTCCCAGAGAATGGAGGTCGAGGGTTTTTTTTTTTTAACTTTATGTACTAAATAAATTACATTCTGCCTGTTACCTTATAGATGCCTTATTTCCATGTAATCTTAAAATGACATATGTACTTAACTTTTTAAGAAAATTTTAGTTTTAGCTGCTCCCTTTCCATCCTATTTTTACTGCTTGATGCTCTGTAAACAAATACTTATAACAAAGATGAAGTGGGCAAATGGAATAGAGCTCAAGTAACTTGAGTAATCACCATATATTTTGGGGAGCACCCCTAGTACAGAAGGAAACAGCACTTGCTGAAAGGTGGCAGTTTGTTTGAGGGTTTTGATGTTTAGGATATCAGAGAAGTTGTTTGTTTTTATTTTTTTTAAACTAACTGCTTTTTGAAGTTTTCCCTGGCATGTTTATAACCCACACGTGGGATACTCGGCCACGCTCAGTGGTGCCCTGTGTGACCTCCCACTGACGTGCTCCAGTTTTGGCGTTGAGCAGCGATGCCAGGTTCCTGGATGCACTGAGTCCTGGCGATCACTTAGTCTGACCTCCTGCCTGACATGTGATCACTGCCCTTCAACAGCCCATCCGATGTTTTCGAGCAGTGCACGCTTGGTCACTTAGAGTTTCTTGATTTGGAATGGGCATGGCGAAGAGTTTTGCTCCCGACCACCGGGAAATCTTTGAACTTCGAGTGGAAGGACGCTTCCATTTCAGAATTCCACCTCTCAGCCGGCTTTTCTGGAATAGCTTCAGAAATGCGAATGGTCAGTCCGAGAGCGATGGGCTCGTGGAGAACAGAGCGTGGGTCTGACGGGAAGACCTACTGGTTTCGAAGTCAGCCCTCCGTTGAGCTCATCTTCTTCCCGGCGTAGTTTTCACTTTCAAAGGCCGAGACTCAGGCCTGCTCGGAGATGGCTCTAGTTACGGTGGGGACGGGAAGCTTTCGGCTGTCCTGTGTGGCTTATGGGGTTCCTGCATGCACCACGGTGTGGGGTCCTTGCGGACTTCCTGTGCCGCGGTCAGGGGCAAGAGGAGCGAAGCCAGCGCTCACCCGCAGCGCGGAGTCGCCTTCCTCTTAATCGTTCTCCTAATGTGTCTGTTATCCAAGAAGAGTTTACTTGGAAATTTCCGGTTTTTTGTTTTTAGAAAATCCAGACGTACTTTTTGATGGACATTTTCTCTCATGTATATATTAACAGCTTTATTGAGATATAATTCACATACCATAAACCTGATGGATTTTTGTGTGTGAACTTCTGTTTGCTAACCAGTGTGGTTTTGAGATGGGAGTGCACCCTAATCCCCTGTGTCCACTCTCAGTCCGAGAATTTGTCACGTCGGTTTATACATTCACAAAAGGAGATTCTATGGGGCCCCCGGACAGGGGCTGTCCCAGACCCTGCCGTTCATGGTTTGCGGAGAAGCTGGAAAGGCATTTCCCCGTATATACATCTGCAGATACATGGGTAGTCCTTTTCCGTTGGGTAAACACTGATTGTATTCCACTCTGTTTCTAATGGAGCTTGAAATTAATACAGCTTTTTGTTGCTACTGTTTCCTTCACCATAATCAGTGATGTTGGTATCACTGAGAACACATTTTTAAAAGATTGCTGTGGCCAGCAAAGGTCACGTATTTTTTTAAAAAACCACTTAAATATCTGTATGGCTGATGCTGGTAGAATTTTTAAATATGTTTATTGATTTTACGTTTTGGAGAACGTCATAAAGAAGGACCGCCTGTTTGTGTAATAGAGGTGAGGAGCAGTAACTCTTCATAGGACGTGTCACCAGAACGATTGTCCTGTTCTGTTCCAAGGGACGTAAGGTGCTTGTGAGTTCGAGTCTTCTCACAGAGACTCATGTGCTCCCTTCTGTCTTTGGGAAGAAATACGGAGGGCAGATTGCATGGCTTTATTAAGATCTGAACAGCCCTGATATACCATGGACAATGTGTGCTCTGTAGCAATAAAGCACAGATTTACACAGTTCAGTCCTATTCTGGGCTCTTTCATCAGATTACATGTATGTTTTAAGGAGGCTGTGCAGAAATAGCCGAGTTGGTCATAAAAATGGAAGCTGCAGTTTCTCAGCATTAACCCACATATTTCCAAGTGGCATTAGACCAAAATATAAGAATACTATTGCATTAGATTCTTGGGGCTGCCACAGCAATTTACCACAAAGTTAGTGGCCTAAAACGTTAGAACTTTACCTCTTAGAGTTCTGGAGGCCAGAGTTGGAGACGCAGGTGTTGGCAGCGCCATCCTCGCTCCGAAGGCGCTGGGGAGAAAATCCCTCTTCTGGCCACGGGTGGCTCCTGGCGTTCCTTGGTTTGGGGCCACGTAACTCGTCTCTGCCTCCAGCTTCACAGGTTTCCCCTCGTGGCAGCCAACTGTACCTCTCCTTTTTTTTTAATAAGGGCTCTACCCTAAATCCAGGATGGTAATGTGTTTGAAGGATTTCTGTTGAAGCATTTTTCAGCTAGAAATCATCTGCTTTATAAAAGCATTAAATACCTAGTTACTGGGATAAGTACCAGGAGGATGAAATCATGGTACTTTTCTAAGGTAGGAAGAGCTGATGCTGATGCGTGTGTGTGTTTCTACTTCAGCCAACCAGACGGCCTGGCCTTTCCTTTTCTCTGTTCTCTGGGGGGGCCTCTGCTTACCACCCTTTTTTAGCATCAAGTAGGACCCCTGAAATGTCCAAAACCCTGACCGCAGCCTGGCGCTGTAAGACTTTCCTTAGATGCCCCTCCTTTAAGAGTCTTCAGATCTCTTCCCCACGACTTCCAAATTTAGTATGTTGGCTTTACTATGTAAGAAAAAACTAATCTTTCTGAATGTTCCCCCACAAAGTAAACAGAAATTTAGAATGTGTTGTTGGAATTGATTTAGCAGCTAATAACTCAAATCTTAGATAAGCGAAAATTTAGCTCTTTAAGAAAAAAAAAGAGAGAGAGAGAGATCCTATGCTGAAGGTCTTTATAATCTGTCTAAATTTCCAGGTGGAAATCTGTTCTTTGTGAACAAAAAGAAAAAGAAATCCTTCTGCTTTAAAAGATTTTATTTATTTACTTTTAGAGAGGGGAAAGTGAGGGAGAAAAACATCAATGTGTGGTTGCCCCTCGGGCATACCTCCAACTCAGGACCTGGTCTGCATCCCGGGCATGTGCCCCGACTGGGAATGGAGACTGAAGCTGCCGAGCATGTAGACCAAGCAGAGGTCTTGTCAGAGCTGCTGTGGTGGATTTAGGGCAGAGACGAGGGTCATTCATAAGAGTCAACGTCTGTCTGCTCACTGATCATTTTCGTAACAATTCTGAGACGTGGTCTCAGTGGGGAGGACCTGCCTGTCTTCCCCATTTCTGCTGCAGATGCTGCTTGAGCAGACTTCTCTGCACGTAAACCAGGGCCAAGCGAGTTATGAGAAGTTTTGACTTGATGGACCGCGGAGGCTGACTTTGCTCTTGAAGTGTTTTCACATGGAAAGAGATAGCGTGTGTGGTGTGAAGGTTCTTCGGGAAGGGGTGTGTTTATCGAACTCCTTTGTTCTGTTCTCCTGGCCCCCGAGGGAGCTTTGTGGTACCTTCCTTTTGAGGTTTTAAGGACCTTAACTGGTATTTGAATCTCGCCCTTTCCCAGCTTACAACAGCTGCCTGTTCTGGACTGAACACAGCCTATAGCTAATGCTCTTGGGCTCACTAGCAAGTGAGTCCAGTTCTGCCCAGTCCAGGTTCTGTCACAGAGACTCCCGTTCCGGAACGAGCACCGGGCACATTTGCCTGTGAGAGCCCAGTGCAGGTGGGGAGGATGCGTCCCGCTGCGCCCGGTGCTCCTGTGCAGGCCGTCCCCGTGCCAGCTCCGTCTCTTGTGTGAACCCGCAGTGTCCGTACACCCCCTACTTATAGATGCGTTTGCTGCTCTTGAGTATTAAGTCTTGGCCCAGGGCGAAGCTCAGGACTGGTGAAAGCCAGTGAGCTCGCAAGAAGAAAATAGTGGTCTCCGCAGAGGCAGGTCCGCGTGCCGCCCTGTTCGGTGTTTGTATGCGGTGGTGTGGTGCTGGCTGCCGTGGCGAGTACCGACATGGCTTAATTCTCCTGTTTGTCATCAGGGAACAGTCGGCACGTGGCCCGGCGGCAGAGTCAGCAGTGACAGCAGGCGAGCCTCCTTCG